GGAGAATAATACGCCGAGAGAGAAAACGAGACAGGGAGATCCTGAATTGCACGCCTTCGCTTCGCAGATACTCGGACCATGGTCTCTTGCCGATGCTTTCGCACTCGAGAGGAAAAGCTCCAGTCGGTGACGAGAGCAAAACGAATTTTGGCGGGAATGTCGGCCGCGTGAAATATTACCGTCCGGTTGAACCGTCCGTGCTGTTTGTTCAGAATCGTGATTAGCTTCCCAACCACTGGAGGATATTTTTCAAGCTTCGAAAAATTTTCTTCTCTAGAAAACAACTCTAAATCTAGCAACTCTCTGTATCATCGTGTATTAATAAAAAAAAAATACAAATAAAAAAATTTCACTTGTTTTAAAAGGACGACTGCTCACATTTATTTGAGCCCGTATTCAGACGGGATTTTATTTAATTAATATCTCGCAATGATTTATTTCCACGCGATTCGAAACTTGCATCATAAATTTAACAGAAATATGCATTTGCTTCTCGGTAAAGTCCTCTTCATGATGAAAGTCACTCGCAATCTCTGTTTAAACCGAACCAAACGCGAAATAAATTACTAGGTGAATAAACGAGATATATATATAATATATATATATATATATGTGTTGCCAATAATGTTATTCTCATAAACGAATGGTCACTTACGCAAAACGATTGTTCCAGCGAATTACGAGTAAAACATGGTCGTCGATGCAATTTTCTAAATGCACTAGTAACTTGCTAAAGTGATACTCGTGTTTGTGATGTTACCCGCGATCCGCGATGAATTATAAACGGAATACGCTCGTTCGCGGGTAACGAGAGTCGAAATAAATACATCGTAATCGGTATAAATTTCTCTGCACGCGCCGTTGACTATACTACGATATACAGCCGCATGGCAATCATAAATGCAACCCTTTGCTCTTTGAGTGCTCAGCCGTCAATACGATCATCAATATGCAACTCACTCACTGCGAACTGCACCGCTCGCACGAGATTACGTTATACTCCTGATTATGGCGCCAGCGAACCATTTTCGAGATGGAAACCAATTCATTCGTCGGATATACATATCTATGATCTAATGGCGCTTCCATATTAACTGGTTTCTGTATGGATTAAAGATATTAACCGTAATTAAATAGAGTACTAAAAACATACTAAAAACAGAGGATGTATTTATACCCGTTTGTATTTATATTTTTATTTTGATTTTCCTCATTTTATTTAATTATTAATTATATTTTGTTTTCTTTATTATGTATTATTTTCTTTTTATATACTTCATTTTCTTAGTAACTATTGCTTTCTACTTTTTTTTTTGTACCTATTTTTTAGAGGACTTGCTCTAGAAATCCTCGTTAATAAATGCTTTATCTGTCTCCCCCCTCCCTCCCTCTCTCTCTCTCTCTCTCTCTCTCAAAATAGTTTAGATTATTTATACGTTGAAATCAACATACCGCCATAACTGCGAAGGAAAACTTCACTTTCCTTACGTAATAAACGCTCGGATGGATGAGCAACTTTGCATCCATCAGAGTTGGGTACACAACGAAACGTCTCAAAGGAAGTTTTCGTTGCTTCGTAGTAAGTAACTATTGTACAATACTTCCCTGTAGAAACGCTGAACTGTAAGGCGTTATCGGAATTCCATACTTAACGACGACGTCCGTGATACAGAATTAAAGGAAATTAACGTCCTTGACTAGCAATTAAGCGCAATTGGCCTACGTCGCATACGACTAATCCGTCGCGACGACGGAGACGAGAGATTAGGCAAACGTACGCGTTAGAATTGTACGGAACACGGTTTTCAGCGCGGGCGCGATAACGCCAAATTCGATTTGCAACTCGAATTCGAAACATCGTTAGCCGCCGCCGCTGCTCATTGCAACGTAACTCGATTTGCCTTTCATCGCGTGTAACTGACGTATCGGGGTCGTCGATTCGAGATTATTGCGTGACGTATTAATTTACGTTCGATTAGTCTTTCCGGACTGACAACACGGTTTTTTAAACCCCGTTGTTGTGCGTTCGGTTATGAAATATTGATATTGTGTTGCGTGCGCTCTTCGCAAAATATTTCAACCGATACTCGATGAAGGATTGGCTGAAAAAACGCAACGATGGGTTGAGCTAATGTTACACAGATTATTTTCTGAATGTTCGTTCAGATTTAAAAAAAAAAAAAAAACCTGCTACGGAGAGAAATGCGGGAGAAGAGAGTGATGTGAAAGAGAAAGAGGGTCAGGTTAAAAATAGCAACAGTGAAATTGCGAGTTCGACTTTTTTTCACAGGTGTAACGAATGTCGTGGAAATAAGCTCGAAAAAATTTAATGCATTTTGTATGTAGAAAATTAAAAACAACGGTACGCCGAGCCGGCAGCGGAAAGTGCGACGTGGATCGTAAAACATCCGAGTGAAAAAAGGTATAAAAAAAAATAAAAAAATAAAAATTAAGCGCAACGCTTTATTACCGTTACGCAAAAGTTCAGCTATATTATCAGAAACGATTCGCCGTTTGGTTGTGACAAGTTGCGCCGCGGAGCGACGATCCGTACATAAAATGCGAGGCCAACTCTCGCTGTTCTCGCGAAAGCACGTGCAGCGGTGCGTGTAAATTTCGATAGGAATTTCAGCGTGGAGACCCGTCCATCACGCAAAAAATCATAAATAATCGATGAACGAGATCGCGAACGAACGGACTACAGTTAGAAAGACTTCGATTCGGCAGTTTTTCCCGATTCTATTTCCGACTGCGGCCACGCAACACGCGAATTTTTTTCCCGCGCGCGGCAATGCCGGTTAATTAAATTAGCACGGGATGAGAGCTCGATGCTACATTTTGTCGTCTACGCATATTGAGCTGTGTAATAGATATAAACGCCAAATCCATGTAACTAATATGTGGTCTCGAAATTTTTTTATAGACTACGAATGAATGGAAGCTATAAGTTCAAAGCGAGGAGAAAAAAGTGAATTTCAAAATTAAATAAAAAAAAAACATTTTTTAATTTAATTTCGTGTAAAATAATTAATTAATGTACGAAATTTAAATAATTTTCTCACTCGGATTGATTAAATGGAAAAAGAGACAGCATTTAATACACTTTTAAGATGTGAAATTTAAATTTTGACATACACTCACATTTTTTGTATTTCAAGATATTCTTTTTATTTCAATCGAACACAACAGACCTTTGCAATTTTGCAAAATATTTTACCTTACATTTGAATTGACTTTTATGCAAGATATTAAAACGTCTCGCGACTTGTTCCTGCAAATTTCCATGATTTCATTTTAATGATGCGAAGAAACATACTTTATCTCGCAAAGAGATGCAAAGATAAGAAAAATAATCATTCTTGACGTACTATTGTGCGCTACTATTAAAGAGATTTCCAACGATATTCTCTAACGAAGCAAATCTCGCTAAGTACCAAAATCAATGCTCCTTTGCATTTTGATTATAAACCGCTGCAAGTATACAATGTCGGAAATTACTATTGCGAGCAGCTAAGCACCGGAGAATAGCAGCCGGTTGCTTTGTAATTAGGCGAACATGAGAAGATTTGAATTGTAGACTCTGCTTCCGCTTGTCAAGCGCGTCAGGGACGGTATAAGATATATAATAGAGAACGTTGCGTTTATCAAAAGCGATAGAACAGAATATTAAATATTGTATATTTTACACCAAAAAATTGCTAACTCGTGATTAAATCTTCATTCAAAGGGTTGAATGTCAGAAACAAAGGCTTGAGAATGTATACCTTTATGAGGAAACACGAGACCGATTTTTTTACCTCTCCATTTAATGAAAATTAATTTCTTGTTTCGTCAAAATTTCTAAAGATAAAATATACGATATGAAAATGACTTTTTTATTACACCGCGCGTAAATGGAATTATCCTCTTATTACAATGGCTAGCTATTAAATCAGTGAAGTTCACAGACTCTCGCAAGGGGGACGAAGAAAGTTTTCGCGGCTAATGACGCGGTACTTTTAAAACGACCGGACTCAGCGCGTCCATGAGGTATTGGTATAAAATTTAGTCGCTCGTATATTCCGCGGAAACTTTGGCGAACATAAATACTCCGTGCCAAGGATACGCCAAAGATAATCTTGGGGATAAAAGAAACCAGCGACGCTTGATTTTAAATCCACTTTTACTGTTAACTTTATAAATCATGGTTGTATGACTACAAAAAGCTTTCTAAGCTCAGCTTTTGTTTAATTTCGGAAAGAGAATGAAAAACTCATTTGTTGCGTTATTAGCCTTCTCTGTAACGTAATTTTCACTTACGCTTTTTTATAATATCGTTTCCATAAAATAAAGATGCATATCCATATAGAATTTAAGAATAGTTTTAGATACAACAAAATCTTACAATTAGTAAAGATAAATACAATCGGTTTTCTTTGTCACGCCAAATAAAAAAGATCCTAAGCTTTTTTATCTTTAATTCACAAAAAAAGAATTTGCTGAAGTATCTTATAAAAATTTAAATTAATTTAAAGTTAAATCTAAAAATTAGAAAATTTAGTTAGATCTAAAAATAATTTTGTTAAATTATCAAAATAATTATGTTCAAGCTGGTTGCTAGAATGTCAAAACTTTTTGCAACATCATGCTTGAATTTTCTACATAATTATTTTGATATAACAAAATTATTTTCAGAGCTGCGTTTACCTAAATTTTTAGATATTTCAGCAAAATTGTTAAATTCTTTCCATATACGAGCATATATATATATATAGAAGACACAATTTACTATTCCACATATCTGTCTGAGAAGTTTTTCATCACTTTTCTGAAAGTAAAATCGTGACACAAGAAGGACAGCGTATAGAAACCGAGACGTAAGTGTGCACGATGCGAGAGAGGAAAAGGTATGCTTCGGAACAAGTAGCACGTACGCGAGAGGAAAACGAGAGAAGTGAAAATACCATGGAAATTGCCTCGGACACGACCGCTTTTCGAGTCACGGAAATGCGAAAACTTACCTGAAAGTCGAACTTGCCGAACTCCTGCTGGGCGTCGATGTCGGCGTTTCGCGGCACAATTATGGGACAGGTGGCGAGCGACACCTGTGCATCTGGAGACTCGCTGTAATCCGGAGTGACGGAGGTCAAGCTGCGATCGTATCTGAGCTCCTCGTTCAGAATGGCAGGATGACCTGACGACGGTGCCTGGACCTGGCTGACGTAGTACAGGCATAATAGGAGCGACAGCACCACGATGCAGAGGACGAAGACGCGGCCGGAGCCGCGACGCAATATTTTGTACATGATTCGTTCAGCGCGACTCTCGTTGCTTGTAGATTACACAGTAGATCACGGTGATTCATCTAGAGATCGAGCGAATCGTGCGATAGTGTTCCGAGCAGTTGTGTTCAACGGCGACGATCGACGATCGATCTTCGGCCTCGGCTCCGTCGTTCGTCGACTTCATGGAACGTTGTGGCAGAAGGACGGTCTGGAAACAAAAGAAACAAATTTTTAGTTCCAGAAATTTTAGAAATAAAATTATTTAGCTGAATACAATCCTTAATACACGGAAAGTATTCTTAGTGAACGATTTGTTTTATTACGTCTAATGTTGTTGTTGAGATTTTTCTCCGTTTTTGAGTCAATGTATTTAAACAATTTATTCGGGGACCGGAGATTAAGTTGTGCGGTTAAGGATGCGGTTCACTGGGAAGTACTGGATAATTTAAAGGAAGAGTAACCTTGAATCCGGTACCAAAAAGATCGCGAAGTTTATAGGCGAATCTACGTGGATCGGGCTTTGGAATGGTTTTGTAATTAGGAAACGTGAGGTTGACCTCCAATTTACTTAGAGTGTAAACAGATGAGTCTACTGGTTTGTCTTGGTCTAGCAATTGTGCAAGTTTTTGGAAATAGGGGAAAGGATCTTGATTTGAAATAAGGCCTGATTTAATTTGGAACCTCAATCTCTTTTCTCTTTGTCTTCGTCCGGTCTTTTATGACGCATAAAAGTATATAACGTGATCTATGTGTTAGTTTGAATGTTTAAATAAAAAAACTGAATATACCCTCTTATAAAAGAGAAACGGAATTTTCGGTTCCGAAATAAAGATAAAATAGGGAAATCTAGCGATAAGATAAAAGTAAAGTATAAATCGTATATCTATGAAGAATATCTATAAAGAATAAGAGGATTTATCGGGATGTAACAGTTTCAAAAGTATTTTAAAAAATTAGCCGGATATAGTTCTGAAAATAATTTTGGATCATCAAAATAATTATGTAGGACATTCAAGCTAGTTACTATTATAAAATATTAAAACTCTTTGCAGAATCACTCATCATGTTGATGTGTCCTATATAATTATTTTGATGTTCCAATAAAATTCTTTTCAGATCTGTATTTAAGTAAATTTTTAGATATTTTAGCAAAAAACCATACACATAATAATTATTATCCTAATTTCCAACAATTTTTTTTTTCAATTTTGTACACACCATCAATATTATTGCAGATATATTTTTGTCGATATAACTTTGATCGAACATATAAATTTATAAGCTTATAACAATGATACGTAGAAAGCTTCGTGTTGAAACGCATTGAATCGAAATCATTTTGTACAGTAGATATGCTATGATCATAAATGATAATTAATTATAATATACATATATATATACTGAGCCATTTACCATTGACTGATCGAAAATATGCAGACGTTTTAATCTCGTCGAGATGAGAGTACAAGAGAGATTTGCATCGAATTAATTAATTTCAATTAATTCAATTATTCGAAACAGGAATATGGATGATATAATACTTTATGTTTAGCAATCATCTAGATTATTACGCGGGGAATTAGAAACTGTCATTGGCTTTATTATTATTTGCTATATCTGGATATATACAGAGACCGAAGTAAATCGAATTTAAAGAACCGTTGTCTTGTTGCTTTGCTGACATTTAACATCGTACACGCGAATGTAACGACATGGCGGCCCAGTTATCGCTTATTCAGACTGACGGGATACAGAATTACAACTCGACACATACGCTTTATACACGGAGATCGAAATAATCCATGCACCTGTGTTTTTCCACGCGAAATATGTATCTTTACTCACGAATAACCAAGGTCGAAACGCGATCGATCAACTCTTTGCTAACAATTTTCTTCTCTACTTTTCTACATTATTTACGACAAATGATCATCTATCTTCATGATAAAGAGCCTCCTTTTATTGTCTCGTAAGTAGAAAGTACACACTGAAAGAAAAGTTTTTAGTATTTAGATATTATAATTACATATTATTGTGATTATTATTACATTATATTACTGCTGTAATATTAGTAATAATAGCTATAATAATTTTTTATCGTCAATTATATATAATTTATTGATAGAACTATATTTGTAAGTATTATTATAATGCTAACATTATAGCATCAATAATCATAATTACAGTAACATGTAATTATATAGTTACAAATATTAAAAATGTTTCTTACAGTGTAATACACATATTGACTCGACAATAAAAATGACAGTAATCATTTAGATAAAAGATAGACAAAAGTTTTTGTGTTAACACAACAAATAAATTGATAATCAATAAATTTGATTAATTAGGTAGTTCATTATTGAGCAATATATATGTGTATATATATATATGTGTAAAGAATTTTGTAAAATCAATCTGCATTTTAAACTATCTTTTTATATAATATAAATCGATTTATATAAAAAGATAGTTTAAAATGCGGAATGATTTTACAAAATTTTTTTTACACCACGATGAAATCGTCGCTGTCCCGATTATACCGCAAATAATGGACCAACCTGTATTCCATCGCGAGATAGAGTTAATCGATGGCTTTCATAAACATCGATGGATTTCTCGATGAATTGCAAATCGAGATTGTTCCCGTGGATACCAACGTGGATTTTCGAAAATCGGAAAAGCAACAGAGAGAAAGAGAGAGAACGAGTTACTGTAATCGCGCTGCGATTTAATTCGGTCATCGTACGATAAGCCTCGTGAACCAGAGACACAGTGTATTTCATAAACCTTTTGCTCGCTAAAACTTCCATCACGATATGTAAGATCGCTTCTCAAGCGATAATCGATCGCGTCTGTCGTATAAATCCTCGCTCAATGCTGACAGAAACCGTAAGACCAGAACATAAAAAGGGCAAGAACAAAAGCTATAAGATAGATAGCTATAAATAGATCTTTATCTATCTATAGAGAGAGGAAAGAGTTGGTTCAAAGAGAGTGAAAGAGTTAGTTAAAAGGGAAGCGCGCGGAGATTAGAGTTTAATTCGGTATTAACTCGACGCGTACGAGACAGACGATGTATACGCACGATGGAGAAGGAACAGCAAGGACTTCGTTCAAGCGCGATAGAAACTGTTCGTCCGAAAGTTCACGGAGAGATTAAACCAGCTAGCCACGTCAACATTATTGAAGCGTGTATATGAGGACGAAACGGTTCATAGGAAAATGGACAGTCGTGGAAAGCGATGGAAATCCGAGAGTAAATCTACAGTTAATTAACCCAACTGACAGAATAGCGGAGTAAGTCAGTATTTGGAAGATAATTCGTATTATAAATCCGTCATTTTTAATTTTGTTATACATATGTAAATTAAAATGGGATTGTTATTATTAACAATTGAAAGATTAACATTTATTGTTTAATTATATCATCACAGTAGATTTTTTTAAAATACTTTTCTTTTATAGAATCACAAAATTAATTGTACAGCTAATTTTTCTAAGCAGATTCATTTAGTACATTTCTATTTATTGCGACAAGAGAAATATATCATTTATGTTATTATTCCGTTTCTACAAAAGTGGAATATGTCCCGTATTGTATTTATCTATAACAAATAAAGCAGAGTCGTTCACATATGAATAAATTAAAATTAATTAGTTGTTCTCGTGACCAACAAAATTATAAAACAAATGCTAAATATATATGATGTGTGCTATCCGTCAAATTAATAAACGTTCTAAATGTTTGCAGAGCCACAAAAGCGATGGAATCGATGGAAGCGATTTACATTCGCGCGCACATCATTGTTGGAAACAATCCATATTACTATAAATCCAATTACCCGATATGAATACCATAAATTCAATATTCTCCCGCCGCAATCTCGGTACTATCGAAGTAATAATTAATATACGAGCCGCAAGTAGAGCGATCAACTTTCGAATACGGAGTTTGCGGGCTGAAACGCGCCACGAGCTTATAAGTGTCCCCTCGCTCATCATCACTTCCATTCGTGATGAAGATCCAGAAGTTCCATGTCGGGCTTCAATTTTCTCCCCAAGGACCCTAATAAAAACGCAAGGAGATTGAGGAGACAAACGAGAAGGACGCGAGCATGGCTGGATGCTCGTCAGGTGCCGGTCCTCCAGTCATTCAACCAACACCCCGAACGTAATCCCTTTGTCCGTCCACAACGAGGACGATGAAACGTGTCGAGGATGCGTTATCGAGACTCGTTCGATGTGTTCACGATCGAATAGCACACGTTGAGAAAAGTGTAAAAAATATCCGAATCAAAATTCAGGCACGCGATTTATTTCCTTATTCCGATTGGTTTTACATTACACGAAACATATTTCTTTTGTGACATATGAGTACTCATTTCCATTAACTATTGTATTTTTCATCGTATATTATAAAAAATTTCTGTGGTTTTAATAGTTTAATAGTTCCGCGTGAATGCCCAAGTAAGTATTCTTGGCGCGAGTCGAATTAATTAGACTGATATTATATTGACTTGAAACGGACTATTAGTCAAACTCTAATTTAAATATTTCTAGAAAGTGGCTTTGGACGAAATCACACAAAATTCGCTTTTCCTCAGTAATTCTAAGGTGATTACTAAGCTTGAAAATTCACGTCGTCGCTACTGCCAACGACTATCGACCCGAGTGAACTGACAATGAAAAGTACTATTGGTTTCTAGGCTATTCCATCGCGGCGAACAAGAGTTCTACGATAAACTGCGGATTGCAGTGTAATAGTGTCAATACATGAATTTTCACGGCTAGAATTACATGCAAAGACATGACATTAAAACAGAAACCGCATATCCGAGTACAAGTTTGTAGTGAAAAACAAATGATAAATTTGTTAATAATTCGTTCAGGATTATTTTCGTAATTAAAATGATTTAGTTTTGAAGTCTTTTACATTGAATAAAAAAATTATGTTAAATTCAGTAACAACTCTCTATGAATCATTTATTTATGTGGAAGCAGAAGAGGTAAAAAAGCACAAGAATTTTTTATTTTACTCAAATACTCTACTCTCCTTATTTTGGCAAACATTTAAAATTAAAATATTATAAGGATCATACCATCAATTTAAGAAAATAATAAATATATCGATAAAGTAAAATTTTATCGACTAATATTATTAGAAAAAAGAAACCTTAAAATACAAATGTTTTTTTTTTTTTTCAA